ATGGTAACATTTCGCCGGTTATTTCGATATATAACATAACGTTTTGAAGAAATTCACGAATTTCCTTTTCTTTGCTAATTATGTATTAATCTGTTTGATACATCACAGGGTCTGAGTGGGCTCGGTTTCTAAGACATTCCACTATTTTGGGATTTACAGGGTTTAGTTGTGATACTTGCAAGCCTTAAGAGTCGCAAAGTCTAATAGTGTTACATTTTCAGTGCTAGGAGTCCCGAAGAGAACTGGTAAGTGTAAAAACAATCTGAGGTCTTCCATTTTTCAATATAAAGAAAATCATTGGTTCTACCATCTAGCCATTTCAAAGCTATTTTTGAATATTTGAAATATATATGTAGCACTAAGCTGCAGTAGTAGTACATCAAGTATAGTTTCCACAAAGTAGAGGCTGGCATGCAGTACGTGCACTGTAATTTTGACTCACCACAATAAAAGGGAATTCTGAGCTAGATCCATAAATAATTTACATATGAAAATAATACAGATTTTTCATAATATTACAATGGGTAATATTTAAGGAAAACAAAATATTTCTGTAATATCAATACAATTTTCTTATCAAAGGTAAAGAGGAACACTATAAAAATTTGGGAAAAAAATATGGAATATGAAATCACCGTCCACTTAAGTTTTAAATTCAGCTTACAAAAGTTCATAGAAAATCTGTAAATTGTCCTCAAATATTATATATAGCCATGAAGTTGTAAATAAATTTGAATCCTTAGTAAGTTTTCTATTGTACAATCACAATATAATTCATTTAAATTTCAGTATATCAGTATACAGTAAATGTGATTAATCCAGTGATTATGCATATTCACTAGAGGATTAATCCGTTGATTATGCATTATTACAGATGATTATGAATAATCTCCGATTAATCACATTTACTGTTACATTCCATTGTTGTATGATAAATATCAGATTTCTCAAGAAATAGGATTGAATACAGTCTGTTAGTATTGTCATGGACAGAAATTATTCTTTGTGATTCAATTTAAATTTATGTGAAGGATTGAAATACCACAACATGAAAGAATGCACTATTTTTGTATATTTACCATTTCATAAGGGCTACTACGAGTGGGAGTATTGACATCCGTTTTATTGGATCCAACTAAGATGAAGTTCATTTTCTGGTATTTGAATAGTGCAATTCTTCCTCTGTCTGCATCTTTGTGATAACTGTTTTCACTGTGTTTTGTTTCAGTTTTGTGAAAGTATTTAGGACATTTAGCAAGAAGAAAGAAGTTTCTTTTAATTAATGGTCGAGTAGCTAGAGCTCTGGCGCTCAGTACCACAGGTTTCGGGTTCGAGTCCCGGCGGGGCCCTGAATGTTTCTAGTGGTTAGGAATCCACTTTAAACTGTAGGTCCCGGCCTGTTAAGCCCTCGTGCGAAGATGACCGTAGAGCGATTAACCAAACTAAACTAAATCAAATTTAAGCGCATTCCCCGACAATATATTTTTCGCAATTCCCTGAACAACACTTTTAGTAGAGTAGGACGATCATTTCCCATCACCATATAATTCTCTCCACAGTAAAATTACCCCTTCTAACCAAACTACAACCGTAACCAAAACTACTGATTCCTACTCAGACGAAAACAGCTGTTCACCTTCTCCCAGCCACCATAAAATCGCAAAATTACAGTAGAATCCCAATTCGATCCCCTAATTACCCTACATAAATAAATGCATTATGTTATAGATGTAGCGAAAGAAAGGCATTTTCTTCAAAATTTTTGTGTATCATTTTTTTCTTTTTTTTTAATATCCCCTTTTTTAAGGTGGCTTTTTTTTTGTCAATGCTGAGTATGCTATATATTATTCATTGCGATGTCAGATAATTTCAGGTAAAAATGTCAGTCATTGAAAATTAATTAATAATTTAGAATCATAGAAGAAAAGCCTTTACATGAATAATTTACTTCCAAGAACGACATAGTAATAATTAAAAGAATATAAGAAGAAATACTTCTTTTAAAACTTCTATTTTTTTCAATAAAATTTTTTAAACAAAATATTTTTTAATTTCTAAGCTAAATTCAATTTTAAAATTGCAATTAATATTTTATTTCAATAAAAAAAAATTTAAATTTAAAATATTAATTCCGCGCAATATTTGTTGCTAATATTCCATGAATTACTAATAACGTTTTTGAAATTATGTAACGAACTGCAAATTTTTTTCAGCTATATTAAGCACAAATAGTATTTTTTCGTCATAATTTAACACATTCGAATAGTTTTTAGTAAAAAAAATCATATAATGTTCATAGTAGTTAATATCGATAAAATGTGTCATTAGACGATAAGATATAATATCGTCAATGATAAACAAAATATTTTGAGAATTCTAGCTCTCCTCCCAGAAAAGAATTAGGGATTATAGAGTTATATACAAAATACACAGTAATTTCATTAAATACAAAGTAATATAACTATGTAAAATAATGTAAATTATATAACATATAATTCGAATATTTGCAATAATCCATGGTTTAACTTACAAGAATTTTTTATTTATTTAAAGTTAAAATACAAAAAATAACTATTAGTAATCTATGGAATTTTTGTAAAAAATGATAATTGGTTTATAAATATATTATTAAAAAATTACTGATTATTTAGAGAAAAAGAGACAGTTCATCTTTTTCGAACTTAAAAAACAAAACAAAAATACCTCTAGTGCGCTAATTAGAAAAATCGTTTTACAGTTATTTTGCACAGAAGAAGGAGAAAAAAAAATTCTGCTCCTAGTGACGTCACCGAACCTTACGCAACTTTTCCAGTTTTGTAATGAGTTATAGAGGGCGCATCCTATCATAAGCGAAGCGAGAAACAGTCAAACTGTTTTATTCACCGGCTGCTTTTCGTGTGCTGTTTTAAATCGTGTTTGAATTATCTATTAATTAATATATTTAAGATCAAAGATTCAAGTAAGTGCTTTTTTCGTTAGTTAAGTATTAATTTTAATAATAAAACAATGTACAATGTTTTAATAATAATTTTAACTTTATTTCGTTGGTTTTGTTTTCTATAAGTTAATGTTTTTTCATGTTAATATGTTTTTGATAATAAATTATATTTATTTTTGTTCATGATTTTAAATGATTTATTATTGAACATTGCTTTCATGTTAAATTATATGCCCAATCCATTATTAAGTAATGCCCGTGAAATTTTGTGTCTTCTAATTAGCTTGACTCTTGAAAACAAAACAAAAGTTATTAAATAAAATATTAATTTTGAGATATTTGGAAGTGAAAATAAAATATTTCATCTATGTAATATTCGAAGGATTGTTAGAATACTGAAATGAAAGTTAAAGGCACGTTTCGATTTCAATTAGGAAATTGAGAAGAAAGCTTTGAATTTAATCTTTTGAATAAATTTATAAATTTTGATATAACGTTTTATTTAAATTATTCTTTTGAAGATTTTTATATAAAATCCAAGATTCATTTTTCTTATATAATTAAAAAAATTTTTTTTTCTTTACATTGAAAGCAAATTCAATTTCAAATTAATTAATATATTTTAATTTATCTCATAACGATAATTAAAAATTATATCGTGGGAAAATTTAATAATGCATTTTCAGAAATCATTTATAAACAATTATTTTTTACTATATCTTCATCTATTCAATCTATTTTCAAGAGATTATCGTAAACTTATTAGAAAACACAAAATTTCACGGGCATTACTTAATAATGCATGGATATGTAAATTAAATTAAATTTTCAGTTATATTAATTTTTACAGTTTGTTTGATTATGTAATTATAACTAAATATATATTTAAAAAAATTGTTTTAAAAATTAATTTTTAAAAAAAATATATTTTAAAAATGTAATAAATTGTAAAAATTTAATTTGAAACCATTGTGTTATTATTATATAATATTAAACAATGGAATTAAAAACTAGCATTTAGATTTTAAATTTGGAAGGAAAAAATTATTTTTTAATGGAATTGATGGAATTATTTATCAATCTAGGAAATTCATAATTTTTTATGGTTTTCTAAAGATACTAGTTTTTAAAGAAAAAATATACATTAAAGAAATGTAAAATCCATCAAAGAAATGTTGTCTTTCCTATTTTCTCTGAGTATTAAAATAAAATCCATATTTAATATAATGCATCTGAAAAATATATTTATAATGTGATAAATTATTTTAACTGTAGAATACTTTAAAATGCATACGAAAAGAATTTTTAAAATGTATCTCCTTATGCAGTTTAGAGTTAAATATTTTAGTTAGGAAATTAAACTTAATAATTTAAAACCAACTTTTTTGGAGAGTTTAAAATGTTTTATATCCATTTAGGCAATTTTAAAATGTAATATGTAATGATTCTCTGAAGATTTTATTTTTTAAAGAAATAATATATTTATTAAAAAATTATTTTCAAATGACAGAATAGAAAAATCCACATTTCAAAAATTGCTGATAAATGTTATTAATTATATGCAAAAAGATTATTTTAAAATGTATATGGAGAAGGTTTTTGAAATGTATTTCCTTATGCAGTTTGGAGTGAAATATTTTAGTTAGGAAATTAAACTTAATAATTTAAAACCAACTTTTTTTCTGGAGAGTTGAAAATGTTTTTATATTATAAAAAAAAATGAGAATTTTTAAAATTTATTTGTGATTCTTCCGTATTTTGAATCTTGAAAGAAATGCTGAATTCTGTTTCGATTCCTAATCATATTGTTCTTTACGAACAGAATCAAGAATGTTATTATTAATTATATTTCATAATATATTCTAGCTAAGATATTTGTTATGAATACTGTAAAAGATTGTAGCATAATTTACTTTAATAATGTACTCTTATCTGTGCTGTCATATTTTTAGTTATATTTTGGGTTTGCAATTTTTGTTATACTTTTATACGCAAAGGGGTATCCCGTTTACATACATTTAATGTTCTGTATGACGTGTTTGAAGATATATTTACAGAAGCCAACGGCCGTACCATGCTGAATATACCGGTTCTCGTTAGATCATCGAAGTTAAGCATCATTGGGAGCGGTCTAATAGGTGAAAATAAAGTACATTGGGTGGGTGACCACCTGGGAACACTGCGTGCCGTTGGCAAATTTGGGACCTGAATGGCCGAGTGTCTACAAAAACTGCAGCGCTCTGGCGCTCGGTGCCACAGGTTTCGGGTTCGAATCCCGGCGGTGCCATGGATGTTTGTAGTGGTTCGGAATCCACTTTAAGCCGTAGGTCCCGGTCTTCTATGACTGTAAGAGCGTCACGGAGCAAAAGTCAGGCTTCTACCTACGGGTGCTCCATCACAACAGAAGCTGCTTCCTTCCCCTTTAATCATGAGTACGTATGGGCTCGTGGGCTTGGCCAGCCAAGTGGGATAAGAAACAACAACAACAAAATATTTACAGAGGGCTCAAGTTTTGATATAGCATCAAAATTAAAAGAACGACATTCCGTTGAGAATTTCAGCGGAATTTTCATTTTTGATTTAGCTTTTTTTGAGTAACTAACTTTCTGAGATTTTTTTTTTTGTGTACTTTCCCCGTAATTATTTTATTAACTAACTATTAATTTCTAATTTTAAAATAAATTGACTAACAATCATTAACAGTTATTATAATTAATTCATTAGGAAAATGTAAAATATATTATTTTTACAATGTGTTTCATATTTATATTTGTAATAATATTAAAAAAATTATTTTTAAGTCAATTCCTACTTTTTTGTCACTATATGGCAGAAAATGCAAACAAATATACAATAATTTAGCTTTTTATGTAAATTTATTAATTTATAAATAAATTTATTTATTAATGTTAATTATTACTTTTTAATTATTTTTATTATTTATTTTTTATGTAATTTTAATTAATTTAATTTACGTAATTTTTAAATTAATTTATTATGTTAATTATTAACAGCTTATACGAAAACTATTATTATTTCTAAACAATAAGGCCATTAAATCAATTTTGATCTAAAATAAAATAATTTGAAATTGCATTGAAAATGTCATTTAATAATTTTTTTTGTTTAAAAATTATTGTTTTTTTTTGTATTTATTTAATTACAGGAACGGCGCAAAATTATTTAAAAAAAAATTTATTATGCTATGGCATAATCAAAAAATATGAATGTATAGATGTTAATTTAACAAACAAATAAATTTTAAAACTATAAATAATACTGCTATATTTGAGACGAAAATATAAATAAAATAAAACAATAAAAAGAATCCCTTATACCTTTAGAATGTACCATTTTAAGAATGAAAAATTTCTAAAAACAGAGCTACAGAATATTTAATATATTATAATGTGGAAAAAGACCATCTTTGACGTGTTATTATCTGTGCTAATTCTTTCAATTGATTGAGAAACCTTCTGACTTTTATTTATTTTAAAGACATCTAATGAATACTTTTATTTTAATGTCCAGCTAGGTTGTCTTTTAAATAAATTTTTAAGACTAAATATTTTTTTTGTTTTTTTGGAAGGTTTTGTGTAAACTTTTTAAGTATTAACATAAAATGTTAAAATTTCCCTCTCTAAATATACTTTATTTCTTTTAAAAGATACCTTCCAATCACATTTTGCCAGAATTCACTGGCGTTTTATATTTGATTATTTACACATAATTGGAAATTATGCAATTTTTTATTATAAGTGCTAATTAAGAAAATTAACAACAATAGTTATAGCTTAAAATAGGCGACACCTTTTTATAATGCTGGTTATTCACAAAATATTAATTGATGGCATTTTTGTCGCTGTCATATGCTTATGGCTCAGCTCACCTTTATAAATGCTTTTTTAACGTTTAGGTTATAATATCAATTGTGTTTTCTTTTTTTTTTTTGTATCCATTTGATAGCAAATTTATGAATGAGAGAGTACACAAACTCCAATTACGAAGTACTACACTATTAAGACGAACTACACTATTAAGACGAACTATTACTACACTATTAAGACGAACTATTACTACACTATTAAGACGAACCCATTCTTCTAAAACAGAGTATATCTCTTTCTAAAAGAAACAAATTTTATTTGCTCTAAATTTATTTTTTTTTTGTATTTTTCCAGGGATATCTAATCATGGCTGGTGTCCAAAAGCGAAGACGACAACCCATGCGATCAGTAAAAAAACTGTCTTCGTTATCCGGAATAGGAAAAGAAGCTCCATTGAAGAGAGAGAATGCAGTTGTGAAACCCGATATCGTAGAGAGTGAGAATATATGTAAGAATGAGGAGGCAGTTGCCCCTTCTGATCCAAAATGTTCTGTTTGCTTGGATACTTCCAGGCGGAAGAACATGAAACATCTGCCTTGCAGTCATGTTTTCCATCGAAAGTGCATTAACAGGTGGCTGAAGAAGAATAGAAGATGCCCCATATGTCGAAACATCACACTACGTGATTCTTCGCCACCTAAAGCACTTGTGAGACAAAATGGAGTGCCAGGGGAAGGCTATGTGGTTACACTAAATGGATATGCTCAGTTAAGAAGTACGTTCATTTCAGATCAATATTTTGCTTTTCAGTCATCTTAATTTCTGTAACACTTCATTGTACTAAATTTCCTTCTGAACTTTTCCTTCTCAAGATAATTCCGATATTTTTAAAAACTTTTTGCAAATTTTGAATCTTATATAATATATATATATATATATATATTGTAGAGTGACATTTTTATTTTGTTCCAGCACGTTTTTGGAACCGATCGCCTGGAAAAACCTTTCGTGCTGGGCCATTCTGTCTAAGCTGCAGCATTTCTCTATGAATAAGGCTGTCATCCTGTAATTGGAGCCTTCTGTCAATAATACACATTTCTCTTATAAACTGTTCAAAATAAAGTCTTAATTTCCGAAATTTCAAGTGGTATTCATTTCTCTATAAAGAAGAATTAGAATTAAAGTTATATTTGACAAAAAAGTAATTGAATTATAAAATAATATAGCAAGTTTTTATTAGTTCCTTAATAAAAGTCCCTATGAAATAATTTTTAATACTGCAACCATGACTTCTGTCATTCTTCATCTTAAATTTTGGACAGAGGTCCTTAGTCTTGGTACGGTAACATATTTTTAATTCTTTTTCTAAAGAAAAAGAAGGGGGAGACAAAGAAAATATATGAAAACAACTAAATATTCTGTGTTAAAAGTTTTAAAACTATTCTTATATATATATATATAATAGTTGTGTAAAAACATCGTAGCATCACAAAAAGGTTAATTGGCACCAAGAGCAAAGGGCTTTGCCTTTTTCTTTGCTGTAAAATGTGGACAATACATCCATGTACCTATTATTTAAATTACTATGTAATTTAATTAGTTACAGAATTTAAATTTAAAAATATAGTTAATAGAGCAAAAATCCTGGAAAGATTTTGAAAATAAAATATATTAAAAAGTTGAATAATTAAAAAACCCACAGAAGAATATAAGAAAGCAAGTATGGATCCTTGCACAATGACATTAAAAATTACATGTAGAAAATATCAGCAAAGAAAAAAATTCAGATTTAGTGAAAATAATACTAAATTAAACTGGCAACTCAAGCAGCGGTTATTTGATCAGACAATTAAATTCTGCCGGGGCATAACCTTTATTGAAATCGGCACAAGACGATTTGGAAATATGGAATTTTTTTGATTTCATGTGTGTGTTGGTAAGATTTGTATGTTTGAATAAAATAGTGAAAAGCAATTAGAATAGACGGTACATAAACAAACACCTCGTACTGTGGAATTTATCTCCTAAATACCGATTAATGAGTTACCAATAAGGATAAGGATTACCCCCTCCCATTAATCTACTTATCTTAATTAGCAAAAGTAAATGAAAAGAATATTTTTGCTTAAAAATAACGAGTAAAACAACGAGTGTGAATTACTTAATGAAATGAAATTGATAAGGAAAGCAGTGTAAAAAATAGGAAAAAAAAAAAAAAACCGCGAATAGAATTTTTAAAAGAAAATAAAAAAATAATCGATTTAAAATTTGGTACAATTAATGGCCAGCTGAATAGCATTAAAAAATAAAAATGTACAAAACACGGAAGGAAATTTTTGTTAGTAACAAAACAAAAAATAGTTTAAAATGTAAAAACTACACTGCCTGTGCGACGAGGAAAATGAGGTGCATAGGAAATTCGAGTTAAAAAAGACCTGGCTCCCCATTCCTGAGGGTGTGGTTATCTTCGAATTTTTTCATGGGTGGGGCAATGTAGGTATCTTCGAAGCCATTTGGAAAAGGCCTCTGAATACTTGAAGTGTTTAAAGAGGACTAGTGCAGTTCAACAGACTAATGTAGCACAATCACAACTCGACAATCCATCCAATCTCCTCAACTTACTATGCATTATTAACTAAAACGATTTGCTGGATACTATACAATAACATGTATCTATAACTATATGTTAATAACATCCGTAACTAACATTTTGATGCCATTTTCTGTGCAGTGCAAAAAAAAACAGCAAGCAGTCCAACCCTCCAACCACTAGCAACATTAATCGAAAGTTTCATTTGCTACCTTAACAATCACAACAATGCAACAAGTTATCCATTTATCAAACCAATTTTCAAAATGAATTCAAAGAACGCCATCAGCGGATTCAAACCACATACCTCTTGCAGGACAATCTGACTACAGTTTCGAAACGCTTCAAACATGCTGTCGTATCTTTTCATTTCTGAAAGCAGTGAGTGCAACGACATCAACAGCAAAATCGACCCACCCACACTTTACCACCTATTAAAATGGCCATTAGGGGATTCCCAATTTACACTGAAATTTTTCACATACAAGTAGAACTTGAATTCATAAACTTCCTAATCATCATAATTTTCCAACTTAAAATACGAGATGAGCAGTTCTCACTGATGCCTCTCTTTCAAATTCAACTTGCCCCTATTCCAAATATAGAAAACATCTGAAACCTCGACAGCCTACTTTACCTCAAAATAAGTTTAAAAATATCACCTAAGAGGAGGCACAGGATAGTATCGTTGCTATCGATATACCGACCTGCTCCAACTGGAAAACTCCACATCCGGCCTCTTGTATATGTTGCTTGCGATATCCAAAAACTAAA